TTTTTTTTTTTTTTTTTTAAATAAGAAATTAATCGGGAGACGATATACAGTTTTTGTACCTTTTTTTGAAGAAAAAGATTATATTAAAAAAAATTTTTTTTTCATGTCACGAAGATATCAGATATTGGTATTTCATTGAATCCGTGATAATTTATCAGATGAAATGGAATCGAGTACAACAAAATTTAAATCATATAGGTTATTTGTACTACATATTTGCTTATTGACATTTCGATAATCGCCGCACACACCAAATAGCTTTGCTTATCGTTAGCTTGCGAATGTTCGTTTATGTCTGTAACTTTTTCGATCTGCCCCAACTGATTTCTTGTTTCAACAATAAAATGGACCTCGTCTAGCAAAATAATCAAAATTGGGGGAAGCCGCTAAACTAGAAATTTACCGTAACCTGTTTCAAGATTCAATTCACCGATAATTTACGATCTAAAAACGAATCGTTAAACAAGCCGATGTTTTTATTTTTCCAACTTTCTCGTTATTTATCGAATTGAACGTAATCGACTGAGAGAAATAAAGTTTGCATTGTATCGGCGGGTTGAACTGCGGGATTAAAGCACCGCATTATTTTCGGTTTGCATGATTCTCTTAATTCGCGTAACTTTTTAAACTTAAATCTCATAGACCGGCAGCTACGTAAATCCGTTTTGTTATAGCAAATCCTCGCCGACGGGCCGGGAACTTTATGTCCTTCCATAATGCCGTAACGAACTTTTCGCTCAGTTATTCCGGCCGGTAAAATTAAAGCCGGGCGCCGATTCGCGACAGATCATGCCACGTGCCATTTTACACCACCGCGGGAGAAAACGGTGGTTATTTATTGGCAAAGTTCCCTTCGTTCTCGGTCGTTAACAACAAAGATAACAGCGAAACTTTGCGTCAACGGTCACCGAACATCTGGAAACCATCCGCAGATTTTTCTTCATTCGCGAGGGAATCATCGTTGAAACAAACACCGACCAAAGCTTTTTCTTTAAACACCCTGCGATTAACCACCGACAACAGGAAAGTGAGCTCCGGTTGAGCCACGTATGTTCCTGCGTTGAGCGAAAAATCAACAAGCATTTCCTTTCGACGTAATGCACGTGAAAATGCGTTATAAAGTTTCTTACTGATCCTGCTAAGATTGCTGTATTTTTCTAACCCCGATACATTCCCTTCTCTGTATATAAATGTGTATGTACTTACACACGCGCGCGCGCGCGCGATACAATGTATCTGTGTTTTACCGACAGAATACGAGGATAGCGCTGTACATCTATGTAAATATATATCAAATCGATAAAGAACGCGGGCGTATACGAATCGACTGTTAGAGGCTCGTCGAAGTTTCCGGGGATTCTAATTGAACCTGAATCACGGAAACTCTCGAGAACACGTAGGAGGCCAGTTTCTACCTCCTCGAGATGCTGAGCAAAAAAAAAAAAAAAAAAAGGAACGCATAAAACAAATACAAGTAAGTAAAGTGGAATATTTAAGTGTCCATTAAGAAATGTGTCGTTTCCGTGCGAGAGAAAACTACGTTTTTCCTATGAATTTCTTAATTACTACTACGAATGGTCTATACAGGGCATAGATGTAAGAGATAAATCTTTAATTTGCCGAGATTAACTATAAGCGAAACGAATTAAGTGGAAAAGAAACTGAATATTCAAAATGCTGTATGTACTGATGGCAATACTTATACATATTCACACGCGAGAGGAACACATGGGACGCGCACACACACACACACACACACACACACACACACACACACACACACGATTAATCAGAGAGAAAAGAAAATCGAATACACACGGACACTCGTCGAAATCAATAAAACATAGTATAAATCAGAGTCCCGAGTCTTTCATTTTACAAGTTCCAGTTCCGTGAAGGTGAAAATGAGAAAGGTAAGTGCCGGGATATTAAATTGAGTTCCGTATCTTTCCGGTATAGAAAACACTTGCCTCTGCAGATTTTTAGAGAACAATGGAAGCTTAGCGAAAAGTCGGATGTCCTCGTGGTATTTGTTCGAGTCGGTGCAATCCACAGTGACAATGGTCATGGACCAGCGAGTACGAGTTGGTCAAATTGAATCTACAACGAAATCGTTTCGTGTCGACTTTTACGTATATCTCTCGAATAGAGAATGCTTTCTACAATGGTAAGAAAAAAGATATGGAACGACGATCTTTGAAATAACCTGCCTGAAAAAATACGATACATCAAATAACCTCGGCAGCTCAGATAACGTACGATGTGTTAACAGTATTACATCAAAGTAAATATTGGACAGTGACAAAAAGTATAATATATATAGACAATGGATTAAATCGAAAGGGAGAAGAAAACGGAAACGGATTCCGAAAAATTTTGCTGATAATCCTATTACATATTTCTGTTAACAGGTGTTTATTTCTATCATGACAGCAAGTTAAATTATAGATAATATTTACGGATTATATGCTATGAGATAGATTAAACTATGAAATAGATTTCAACGTATCCTAGAGTTTCTTAAACTTTGGTAGTTTGCTAAAATATTTCGTAATGCTATAAATAATACACACGAACGATGGTCACAGTTGCATGTTCACCATAAATGTTGACCCAGTTCGACCTATAATAGAGACGATAAAATTATTTCGCTTCATTCATAAATAATCATAATTATCCTACTTGCAATTAAAGCATATTATAGCGACCATATTTACGATTATAAATATACGAATGGAGAATATAATATCTTGCTGGAATATTCTATAATTCCCGACGGAATAAAAACATATTTGACAGATTGTTAAAACCTCGCAATTATCTGCAATTAATCCGCAATTTTAGAAAGAAAATTTCCAAAAATGACTCTGTTAAAACGTGACGATCGATACCGAAGCTTAAAATTTCTACGAGGTGTAGTCAACTGCTAACAACAAACTTCCATCGTAAATACGTAACTCGTGTTACAAGTATTTGAAACAAAATATGTTCTCGCATACTGATGGGAAAATTTTCCTGTAAAACGAGCCACCGAACTCGAATGCAGCAACTTTCCCAATACGTGCATCATGCAGGCTAGAACGTATCCACTCCACCAGAAGAGGTTTACCAACTTCTCGAGCTTCATACCGTATAAAGTAACAGACGCAAGAAATTCCGCGTTGAAAAAAAATTCAACGCCGCAAACAAGATGGAAGTTTTATTCGTGAATAGGAAATATTGCAAGTATAGCGAGAAACGTCGAGGAATAACGCTGGAATCTTTAAATGGAACATTTGCCTCCGCTCCTAGATTCGCGCGATTATTTATTGAAAATTTACCTTGGAGAACGTAGGGAGCTGATACCGCGGCATCTCTGGCAAGCTTAACCCCAATTTTGCAATGTCGAGATTTGTGGAGCGCGGGCTGGGACTAGTTGAGCGCAAAGTGTAACCTATCCCTCCGAAACCGCCTAATTGTAACTGCGGTCCTGTCCAAACAATACGCGTTTCACGCATTACATCATGCGAGAGAGAAGCGGAAAAATCTCATTTGCTGATCAATGATGAAACAGGCGCGTAATTACGTACGATCGATGTACCTGTGGAATACGATTGACTCCTCGCCGGTTCAAACGTTCGCAGCTGGCCTACATGTTGGAAATTCTGACCAAAGTTCAAAGTTGATATGCCAGTAGGAACGTCCGATGACAGGCTGTTGGATATGCCTCCGGATATTCCGTTGTTTATCCCCTCAGGTAAACTGTTGAATGTGCTTCCTACATGACTACTCAGTACGGCCGAGGGCAGGCCGGAAGAGAAAGTAGTACCTGAAATAAGAACACGGCGGATGGGAAAACAACTCGTTTCACTTGACGAGGATATTTCGCGAAAATTAAGAATTGTGCGCGCTTCCTCATTTTCTCGACGAACACCTCGAAATTTAGTTAATCAACTGAGTCTGAAATTTCTCAAAATATAAAAATGGCAACAATAGCAAAAAATTGAAAAGCTGAAGATCTATGCCAAAAGAGGATGGTCTTCTCGATAATAGGAAGAGATCCATCGGAATTGAAGACCCACACGAGAAGGATGGAAGGAGATAAGGAACGAGTGGATGGAATTTTGAGAATTATAACTGGCTGGAGGCAGAAGCATCGAGCAGAAAGTGGGCTTCCCGATAAAGTTGACCGCGACTCGGCTCTTTCGCACTGGCATCTAGCAATAAAAGGGGTAAAAGATTAAATTTCTCTTAACGACGGGATCCCTGGAAGCGAGTTTCTCTCGGCCATCGAATAACGATTTCGGTCTGAGCTTTATCGATTTGTATGAAGAGGTTATACCTAACGGAAGGCCAGTGGACGTGGACGAGTCTTGAGCCACGAAAGCAGACATTCTTGGCAACGTTATCGGAATGTAGTTTATCGTCTGCATTGGCCGAGAAACCGCTGACAAAGTTGCAATCGGTATACTACTCGGCAGTGTCATCGTTGGCCTCTCGACTACCGTGGCTAATGGAACATGATTCGCAGTTTCCGATAGGGAATTCTGTTGGAAAGGTAGATCACGGTTCGATTCCTGCTGCAGCAAATAGCTCAGCAGAGAACTCTGCAAATTGTTCTTCAGAGTGGCCTTTGATTCTTCTGGAAGTACGTAATTCAATACAGTGCTGGGGATCTTGTTGTTCGGGCTGTTATTCGAGACATCTGAAAGTGCTTGGTTCAACGGTAGAATTTGCACGTTGCTTTTGATGCCGTTTTTCGCTTGTTGTGATAGCAGATAACCAAGCACAGACTGCTGTACCTTGTTCTTTAAACCATTGGAAAGGTAATAAGACGTCGTCGGTGAGGTAAATTTAGTCGGTTGAAATTCAATCGGAGGTACGGTTCTGCAAAGGAAACAGAAGCAAATTGGAATTAAGAGAAAACAAAAAGTGAAAAAAAATTCATCAGTTCAGAAGTTCAACGGGACGAAATGCTCTAATAACTTTAGTTTCAGTAATGCATCTTGAATACGGTGTGATGGTGACAGAGGAAAGATCACGATCGATCAAGCAAATAACAAGTCCTGACAGTATCATTACGTACTGTCGTCCGAAAGATATGATTGGAGATTCCGTGTCCATGACAGGTAAGGTAGCTTCGGTGGTCGGTAAATGAGCCAAGTTCGAAGACTGCTTCCTAGTGACCGAAGCGGCTGGTATCGTAGAAATTGTTGGAGTGGATACGCTGGTAGTAGCGGCGTCGGCCAGCTGAAAGCAATTACTAACTTTTATTAGAACTTTTAAGATTCGTGGTCGTTGCCTCGCTCGTACGGATTCAGTTCAAAAGTCGTAAAGAGGTTACGGTACAGGTTGATTAAAAGTTTCTCAAGCGTCGGATCGAAGGTGTGTTTCACACCAAACCAAGCTCGAACTGGAACTTGCCAAGAAATATGTCGAAGAAGCAACGAACGAATCGGCAAAATAGTGATCGGTAAATTCATATAATTATTGCTAAAATTGCAGATTACGTTACGCTGTATCTATGCGACGCTGTGATGTACGAAAAGTATATTTTTCTCACCGTATCGGATTTTACGGTTGGCATTGTCGCCGTATGTGAGAACGAAGCCATTTTCAGGTCGGAAGTCGTAGACGTATGAACTTGGATGGTAGCCGGAGTGGCGGAGGAGACAGTAGATTGTTGCAACGGTTCGTGGCTGGTTGTCGAAGCCATCGACGGTGCCATCGTCGTCGATGCCTCCTCGTTCAATGGTAGAACGTTCTCGTACGGCGAAATAGATGGCACAGCCACATATCCTAGACCATGGTTTCCTAAATATCAGAGAAATTCTTCCTTAAAATTTTTCACCTATTTTTCGATTCGACATGTGTTCCTGCGCTTTGTAATAAGTAACGATTTCTTCCAAAGTTCACGAAAATAAAGAAATTATGCCATTAAGAAATGACATCAGCTACAGCCTCTCTCTTAATTAAAAGTACTTACCATGCTTCAAATACTCTGAATCCCTACCAAACGAATCGACCTGTTGCTGCCTTGATTGTTCTTTGTGAAACTCAATTGGTTTATCGTACACGTCTGCGAATCGAAAATCGTCACGGTAAGTTTGCCGATAGGAGGAATATCGATCATCTAACGACTGATATTGAGATGGCCGCTCGTTTCTGTAAACCGTCCAATCTTTGTCTTCTTGGCTCTTAAACGGCGTTCCATTTGCAAAGAACGACGACTGCCCATGGAAATCCGAAGCATTTTTAAACGACGAATTGTTGTCATAATATAGTTGATCTTTTAATAATCCGTTATCTCGTAACAACAATTGATCCTTGAGAGACAGCTGCTCAGCACGAGGGAATAAGTCTTGTCTATATGGTCGATGTCGGTAAGGTTGGTATTGTTGCGTTTTAAACGGTGGCTTTCGAAATGAATGATCGTGGGAAGATGGGTGCCAATCAGCCTCTTGATACGGTGGAAAATCTTCCAAAGCACTGTATTTTCTTCCGTTTCTGTACGCGGCGACGACCACCACCGTAAGCGCGAATACGATCTGAAGAAATAAATGTTTAGATAATGTGCATTCATGTCAGTTATTTATGTCGGTTCGTCATGATAAAGAAAACAAACGACTCACCAGTTTCTTCATTTGAGCCTTTCACACGCCTCGAGATGTGAAGAAGAAATTGTACAACCACGCGCAAAGATGGTCTGCGCTCGATCACTGCCATCAACTTTCTTATATAGTTAGGAAACAGGAGAAAAACTGTTACTCCTATCTTACACTTCTTCTCGTTTTGCGCGTCTTCCAGATCAGGTATGAAACTGGATCTGGTAAATCATGTACACCGACGCCTTTCTCTTTCTATGACAGGTTCATTGCCAGATATACAATGGACCCGATATATTCCCCGTGTGTATAAGGACAAACGTAGAACTTCGAGTGAAACTTTATATTTACTGCTTACTCATTTTTATTTCGCGTCTGCGACAATTAAAAATCTAAGCAAGTTCCTTGTTTGACCGAAAAAGCAAGTGAGTGCCATTTTTATAACGCGTACAACGAATAACGCGCGTTCTTTAGGTTCTTAATAATTTACGCTGTGCTTAACTTTCCTATTTCTGCTTTATGTTACATAACTTTCCTTGGTAATTGTCAACGTCGACATTTTTTTTTTTTTTTTTTTTTTCTGAAACTATTCGACCTTCAACTGAAGCTTTAAAACGAGGAGTTGGCAAGAGCGTGATAATGTTTGTAGCGAGAAACATAAAAGCTGTACCCGTCGACTTTTTAGAGGGCGACAGAATTGGTAATAAAAAATTATACGTCGACTTTTCTTTCCGTATAAAATATTGATAACTTAAAATACAACGCCTGTTCGTCTAATAAAATAAAAATTAAATGGAAATTAAGACTAATAAAGTAGAAATTAAAATTTAGACGTTTGTTTATGAGTTATGTCAATTGATTAATTGATTATGAATTACATGCATGTATTAATTTTGAATATATTATTATTTTGTATATTATTAGAGCATAATAAGCCTGGTACAATATATTTACATATCC